TAAAATGGTTTGCAGGGTAGATATGGGAGCATTTTTGTAGAAGAAAAATATATGTCCTCTACCTAGGTTCAACATTTACATGACAAAGAATTACGCTTAAACCAGGAGCTAGAGAGACTGCGTAACCACCTTTTAGAATCAGAAGATTCTTACACCCGTGAAGCTTTGGCTGCAGAAGACAGGGAGGCTAAACTCAGAAAGAAGGTCACAGCACTGGAAGAAAAGCTAGTCTCATCCTCTAATGCAATGGAAAATGCAAGGTAACTTTCTTTGTATTTTATAGCATTAACGTAGATTGAACACCTCTTGATTATCAGGCTCAGTAAGCATTTTTCAAATATTAGCTCACTTTATTTTCACAAAATTCATGATTTCCATTTTACAGATGAAGAAGCTTGAGAGTAAAAGGTAACTTGCCCAGGGTCACACACACGGAGTGTGTCAGGGTTTCACACTTGGGTTGTGACTTTTAACCAGAGTCTGTGACTCTAGGATTCAAACCAAGGTCTCTGAATCTTACCCACCACCTAGATCATTGCCTGTCATCACTGTAGGAGTTTACACTTTAAATTCTGACTGAATTAGCTTTGTCAGATGCCCAAAGAACTAATTTATGTGGTTTAATTCTGAGCCCAGTATCTAAGGTTGAAGGAGGTGGGAAGTTAGGAAGGAGAGAGTAAAGGAAGTTGCATGGTGAAGAGCTAGGCCTGAGTGACCAGGTACCTCCTTGTATATTTTTTATTTCTCTCCATAAAATGTTCTTGTTTTTTTCCCCTCTGATAAAAGTGTTAAATGCACATTTTTGATCAACTTAAGGGAAATAAGATAACCAAAAGAACATAAAAGTCACAGTTGGCAGCTCTCAGAGAAAAGCTGTGTGTATGCCTTTTTATGCTTTTGTATGGGTGTGCATATTTTAAAGTCAATTTGATCAGAAATTAATATTGCCACTCCTGCTCTCTTACAGTTGCCATTTGCTTGATACATCTTTTTCCAACCTTTAATTTTCAG